GCTGCTGGAATTCGCGTATAATAACGCGCCTTCCGCCACGACTCATCAATCCCCATTTTTCCTCAATTTCGGACAGGACCCAGTGGTACCCTCTACACTAAACATCGAGACACCCGTGCCTCGGTCCCAACGATTTGTCGAAGACATCCTCGCAGCCCAAGAAAAAGCAGCTGAGGCAATCCGGAAAGCCAACCTGGTCGCAAGCCGACAAACCGATTGTCATCGACGTGACGTCTCTTACAATGTGGGAGATCTCGTACTACTTGACACTCGCAATTTGCGACTGCCGATCCCGAGCAAACTCCGACCCCGATTCTGTGGCCCCTTTCAAGTGACCAATATGGTGACACCTGTCATCGCTCACCCCCGACTCCTAGCGGATTGGCGTCACCACCCGGCTTTCCACGTCAGCCTCCTACGACCCTACGTTACCAGTTCGTCAGATTTGGCACGTCAACGTATCGTACCACAGCTAACGCCCCTTCAGGAACCGACGACCGAACTCTTGAAGATTGTCAGCGATCGAGTCACAACGCAGAAGAACCGACGAATGGTGGATTTTCTCGTCTGATGGCGCGATCGGACGACTGAGGATGACAGCTGGGTGCCCCTCGCTGACATAGAATCACACCCGATTCTAACAGCGTATTACCAGCGTCGGAATGTTTCCGATGGAGGGGGTAGTGTAAGGAATTTCCATTCCTTACTGAGTTGTACGCTAGCGTGTACACCCGAACTCCTCGACTCGTCACGTTCGGCCTCATTTGTCGGCCCAACCCTTTCCCGAGTCGCGATCGGCACTGTCGCCACATTGCCGAACCTACCCACGTTCCGAGCAGGGCTGACGTTTCAAAAAAACCCACTCTGATTTTAGGCCCAAAATTTTTTCCCAAGTCTGAGTAGTCAGGTTTCAGTTTTCCTGGTAGTCTGATTTCTCAGGATCCAGTAACTTTCAAGTCTGATTTCTTCAGGGTTCGCAAGTATGAATCAGAGTCGTGATTTTACCATTTAGTCGCCAATTTTTCATTACATTCGGGCAGTTAACCTACACCTAGTCTAATTTCCTAGCCTAGCTAGAACTCTGGCACATCTACAGCGACGACATCCTCCGCCTCATCATCCGACAGAAAGGGGTTGTCTTCTATAGCTACTGCACCTCCACCATCCCTCTCCCCCTCCTCCTCCTCCTCCTCCTCATCCCAATCCTTTCCTAAGTAGTCTGGCACTGGAGGTTCCTGCTCTGCCTCTTCCAGCAGAGCCTTGCCTTTGCGCTTCCTCTCTTGTGATGCGAACACCACCGACTTCGCTGGTCTTCTCCTTTTTGCGTGCCACAGCTCCAGCGCCTCTTGCCAGTTGATGTCGTATCTCAGCAGCGAAATCATCATCAGCTCACCCAGGCGGGCATTGCACAGAGCACCACGGACCCAAGACTTGATCACGTTCTGCCTGGAAAAACCACGCTCGCACTCCACAGTTGAGAGTGGTAACACCGCGCATGCTTGCCAGAGAAGCATGAGGTTGGGCCAGCGCCTGTTTATGGAACAACCACACACAAGAGGCGTGGAACAATAGAATCAATTATAAACTACAAGCATGGTGGGAAAGGAACAATAGAAGTTGATACAAACATAGACAGTTAGCGTGATCAAACTGGCAAAAACAATCATACACAGGCAGACACAACAGCGTGCTTTGGAGACTCGACTTACCTGCTTGACTCCGTGTTGCCAAGGTAATTCGTGAGGCCCTGGTAGAAGCCCTCCTCGTTGTGGTGGTTCTGCATGATCGGGGCCCAAGTTGCCAGCTCCTTCTCCGCCTCCTTCAAATCGAACTCGGGGAGCTTGTCGTCGAAGATAGCACTGCAGCCATGGAGATACTCTCTCGTCTTCTTCTCCCTCACCATCCGATGCCGCGGCCACTTGCCCGCCCGAAACAGCTTCGTCGGCCCGAGCTTCGACAGGTCGTCCAGCCGCTCCAGCAGGTTCGTCACGCTCCCCCTCGCGAATTTCGCGCATAACAGTTCGCAGTCCCGGTAGTTGCTCTGGTAGACGTGCCCCTTGATCTGCCGCTCGTGCATCTGGTACGTGTGCGTCACCGGCTGCCCGTCCTTGTCGACGCCGCGCACCTTCACTTTCTTCGCCCCCCCTCGCCCGTACACGGTTAAGAAAGCCGAGAGCCACGTGCCGCTTACGCCCGCACCGAAAACCCCGCCGCACTCCAAGTAGCGGTGCCGAAGATCCCCCACCGCCTCGTCGACGTCCTGTGTTATCTCGGTAACATCCACCTGCGGTCGGGCAAAGGGGGGGGGGGGGGGTGGGGGTGGTGGAAACATGGGGGCGCAAATCAAGGGGCAGAATGTTAGTGCTGATTGTGAAAGAACATACCACAAGCTCACATGCAAGGGCTCACCTCTCGCTTCTGAAACTTGAGGTTGAGCTCGTTCATGATGGCGAGGACGTCCGCCAGGAAGAAGAGACAAAACTGAAACTTGTATGAGATGACAACCTCGTACAGCTCATGGTTATACTCGTACAGTAAAACGATGGCCGCACCAAGGACCTTACAGAGGCGTCTGACTGCCTCGCCCCTGGACAACCACCGAATCGCGTGGATTCCTTGAACTTCAAGGTTGGTCTTGTGGATGACACGCTGAAGGTACTTGAACCGCTGGCTCCACACGCTTGAACGGCCGAGGAGATCGGCCAGAGATCGGATAACCTTGTCGACCATGTCCAAGTCTGGACAGGCAGACGCGGCGTCCTTCACAGCCAGAGCTTCCCTGCGCACAGTCCATGCAAAAAGATTAGTAAACGAATAAAAGAAAAAAGCGACAACATAACATAACGAGTTTATACCGGTGGGCGATGCAGTGGGACGACACAAGGTGAGGGATGTGCTCGCGGAGCCGCGCCACGAGACCGTTCTCACGACCAACCATAACAGAAGTGCCATCGGTGCTGATTCCCGCGATGCGGTTCAGTTCGATGCCGGCGCCTTGAAGATGAGTGAGAAGCACGGAGAGCAGGGAGGCGGCGTCGCACTTCTCGACGGTGAGCAACGAGAAAAACTCGGTGACGACGCGGCGATGGCGCAGGAACGTGAGGTACACTATCAGGTGCTTCCCTCTAGTACGATCAGTGCTCTCGTCGCAACTGATGCCGATGAACGGGGACGATTGAATGTGCTGCATCTGGGTCCGTTGAAGAAGAGTCGCCAAGCAGTGGACCATCTGTTGAAAGCCGTACCTGCATGCAGAAGAGAGAGTAATTGTTAAAAAATCCAACGGAGAAGACTAATGGAATGTCGTCGCCGGTACTTACCGAGTGAGATAAACACCGTAAGACTGGAGCGGTAGGTCTGGGGTGTCCTGCTCAGCCATAAAGCGACATAGCCGAGGAAACATGCTGATGGGAGCATCGACCTTACAGAGAAACTCAACAGCGCGGAGCAGTCGCACGACCCGCCTCCCCTCGACATCCGACGACAAATAGTCGTCCATCCTCTTCTGCCCATCGGCGATGTCGTCGGCAATCTTCAGCTGGGCATCCACAGCTTCCTTGTGTGCAGAAGAGTGCTCGTGTATGCGCATGGTCTGTGTCTGCAGGTCTCGGCCACCATCGCCCGAAGAGCTGTACTTGGTGGTCTCCTTGCCAAACGTCATGCACACACTGCACTTGAGAGAAGGGTGGCCGTCTTTTGTTTTGGTCAGCACTAGCCATGGAAAGAAAGGCAGCCATGAAGTTTTGTACTTTGCTTCAGCGACGAGGTATTTCTGCTCTATCAATTCCTTCTTACTCAGCTTTGGCGGTGGCGGTTCAACGACGGCAGGGACTGCACTAGGTGATGGCGGCGTGGACGGGCGGCGGAGCCTACCTCCGATCATGATTTGAGACTGGGTGTACTTGCCCGTCCGTTGTTTCTTCGCAGACGAAATCGTGGACGCGCAGGGCACGCTGTAGCGGACAGTGGTGGCGGTGACGCAGTTAACGGGCAGAGTCGGGCCTCTGCTGGATGAGGCGACGGCAGGCGGAGGGACATATGGTGGTGGCACGAAGGGCGCGGACGGGGGTGGGTTTAGAGCAGGCTGGGTTTCCTCCGCTGCGGAGGAAACCACAACAGCAACGACGGGAGGAGAACCTAACGACCGCAGTATGTCTATCGCAGAGCGACGAACCTCTGCAGGCTCGTTACTACGAGGTGGTTCATCGGCGCTGGGCTCATCGTCTTCTTCTGCAGGAGTCCCCGTCATGGCTGTTGACGGGGTCGAAAAACGAGAAGCTACGTGAGGACGAGAACAACGAAACACGAATTGACGAGTAAGATTTACAAACCCCGTGTAAAAGCCTGAGTGCGCCTGAGAGGAGGGGGAGGGATGAGAGGGACGAAGAAGAAGGGTACCATCAAGCCCGAGGCGCGTGTTTCTTGGTTAACTGTCGTCGTCAGCTTCTGGATGGCAGCCCCTTCCAAACCCGCGCCGCCATGCCAAACACGAGCTGACGTTACGAACGAACCATGTGTTGGCATGGACTGTCGCCAATCACCGTCGGTCGGAAAGTTTTGCACATGCCAGCGAGGGCAAGAATCCCGCGTTACCAACCTTTGATGGCTTCCAACGCACCCACGTAGAGGTCGCACGCGTGGCAGGAAGCATGACGCGCTGAGCGGCAAAGTCCCTGTTGAGGCAGCATCACAGTCACAGAGGGGGCGAGAATCCTGCCAAGTGCAGATACTTCACGTGAGACGTGCGGGGGTGAAATGATGAAGGCAACATATGACGTAGTAGAGGAAATCTCGTGGAAAGTACAAGGTGCATGGATGTCGCATTCAGAGTCCATACGCGATGTACTCTGAAACCTCAGTATCCGTACAACGACTACTCTGAAAACTTCAGGATCCAAAATCTTACAAGTCTGAAGGGTTCAGTATCCAGAAAAGCCTAAGTCTGAAAAATCAGGATTGGCAAAAAAATGGGTCTGAAATTTCAGACTATCAGACTAAAATAGTCTGATAAAATCAGCCCTGGTTCCGAGGTTATCGCCGTAGCACCAGGGCTCAAAATTGGTTTAGGGGCACCCTTAGTAATCAGTGTACCTAAAAAAAATTACCCTGTCTCTTAGGGTAAAATTTTCGTCACCCTTTGAAAATCATGTTTGACAGGTTGTGCCAAAAGATCCTAGGGATTTTTTCAGCCCAACATCTGGCACAGTTGCACATATGGAGAGATTAGTGAACAGTTTCTATAGACATATGCCGTAGTGTACTGGATGCATAGCGTGTTGAAGTATGCTCGACAGAGTTACCGTTTATGCATTCCAAATATAGCACAATGCGGTGTCCTTAGTGAGACGGGAAAATGCCCCCGAAGTGCCTGAATTCAGCATGGAGGAATCAGAAGGGAGAAATATAAGGGAATGTCTGACATAAGAACCATTTCAGCCGCATCAATAAGTAAAGCTTCAGTCAAAATTTAGAGTGCAGGCATTGCACAGAGGTATGAAAGGAACTCAAGAAAGAAAGGAAGAGAAAAGAAACATGTGCTCAACATTCACAATGCAAGCATTCCACACTCAGTCTACACTCTTGCTGCACACGCTCTAAACTCACCGAACTTGCATACAGCAGAAAGGTGCACCACTTAATGAGGGACATAATCTGCATGGCAGGCAGCGGCTTCTTGTAAAGAAAGTACTGTGCCTAGAAAAAAAGTATTCCCCTACACTCCCGATAGACTCTACACTCACCGAATGTGCATACAGCAAGTCACTGAGATGCTTGGGGAACCTCAGAATCGCCCACTCTGCATGCCCTACCCACTCTGCATGCCCTATCCCCTCTGCATGCCCTATCCCCTCTGCATGCCCGCACCACCCACCCTGCATGCCCGCACTCAAATGACTCACTGTGCATTGAATCTATCCAACTCTCGCTGTGCATTGAATCTATCCAACACTCACTGTGCATTGAATCTATCCAACACTCACTGTGCATTGAATCTATCCAACACTCACTGTGCATTGAATCTATCCAACACTCACTGTGCGTTCAATCTATCCAACACTCACTGTGCATTCAATCTATCCAACACTCACTGTGCATTCAATCTATCCACAATCTCTTCTGCCCCCAGCAGCGAGTCGCACCCTCGCTCCATCACCACCACCAGCTGCCGCCCCCCTCCACTGCTCCTCACCACCACCCACGCGTTCCTCCCCACCTTCGATGCCACCTCCTCACTCTCCTCCTCCTCACTCTCCTCTTCCTCCACCGTATGCCACTCCTCCCCCTCCTCTCCTCCTCTCCCCTCCTTTGCTTTGTTTCCCTTTCCTTGTTCGCTCTCACCCAACTCGTTCCGCGCCCCCTCAAGAACAGTGCTCACTTGTTCAGTCACCAAATTCCCTCCCCCGCCCCTGCTGCCTTCCCCCTCATTTGGTCTGCTGCCTTCCCCCTCATTTGGTCTGCTGCCTTCCTCCACCTTCCGTTCACTTCCTTCCTGCCCCTCCCTTCTCTCTGCCTGGGTCGCGGCCCCCCTTGCCCCTGCTTCCTGCTGCCATGCTGGCACCTTAGCCCCTTCGTCTCCTTCATGTGACTCCACTCTGTGAGTCGCACCCGGGATCGATTCAGCCACTTGGTTTCCATCTCTTGAAGTTGCGCTGGCTGCATGATCATCACAATTGGCTGCAGCAGCAGCAGCAGCAGCAGCAGCAGTTGCAGTGGGCGATGAAGCAGTGGCAGCAGCAGCAGAAGGAACAGCACCAGCACCCACTACTCCCTCTCCCTTCCTCACATCCCCACCCTTTCCTCCTCCTCCCATACCCCCGATGACTCCACCTCTTCTCTTTATCTTTTCCCCCCCAAACCTGACCATCTCCCTCCTCTGCTGCTGCCTGTCCGCCTCATGCCTCATCTGGTTCAGCACGGCTAGAGAATCCTGCAGCGTGTGGGGGAAGTGTGGGAGCACGGAAAGGGCATTCTCTATAGAATCCACCGCTTCTCTTCGTCCCATTCCCCCACCACCTGATCATCTCCCTCCTCTGCTGCTGCCTGTCTGCCTCGTGCCTCATCTGGTTCAGCACGGCTAGAGAGTCCTGAGGGGTGGTAGGGAGTGAGGAAGCTATCAAATCAGCGCTCTCCCCCATTCTCTATTGCACTCGGCACCTCTCTGCACCTCTCTGCACCTCTCTGCTGCTGCCTATCCGCCTCATGCCTCACCTGGTTCAGCACGGCTAGAGGGTCCTGGGGGAAAGAGGGACATTGGTGCAGCACAGGGGGGGAGAGCAAGCGGAAAAAAAGCCCCAGTTCTCCCTGCCCCTGCTTGCCCTCTGCTCAAGAAGGGGGGAAACGCGAACACCAGAGGAACATCCCTTGGACACAACGGGCAACTCTTGACTGCCTATCCGCCTCGTGCCTCAACTGGTTCAGCACTGCAAAAGAGTCCTGGTGGGAAGGAGGGGTAGTGGTGGTGCAAGGGAGAGCATCCTGCTTTGAGTCTCCTCTCTCACCCATTCAAGCGCCTCTCTGCACCTCTGTGCACCTCGGTGCGGCTGCCTGTCCGCCGCATGAGTCAATTGAGTCAGCACGGCTGGAGAGTCCTGTCGTGGGGAAAGTGTGAAGGCATGGGGGGCAACGAGCGCAACAGAGGGAGCGCACGGAAACTCCTCGGAAAGAGCAGCAGCAGCAGCAGCAGCATCATTCGGAGGGAAAGAGCAAATGCACTCTCTGTTCTTGCCCCTTGGCACCTCTCTGACTGGTCGCCTCGTGCCTCATCTGGTTCTGCACTGTTAAAAGACCCCGAGGGAAAGAGGACAGCGGTGCAACACAGAGAGAGCATGCGGTTTTGCGTCCTGCAGGGGACAGGCGAACAGCAGGCGGAAAATACCTTGGACACAAACGGCCAAGGGTGCAGCTTAAGAGGAGACAAGAAATACTTGAAGGGTGGAGAGGGGCACACAGGGGCAGACCTTTCAAAGAGTGCTGACTCTGAAGGGCGGAGAGGGGGAGAGGAGGGAACGGCAGCGGACAGAGAACTATTAAGGAGCACAGGGGAAGAAAACTTAAAGAGACTAGTGACTTTGGAGGGGGGGAATACAGGGAAGGATCGACGCAGCGGCAATGAAAGGTGGAGACGCAATGAGAGGCAATGAGAGGCATGAACACCCACACCTCAGATATGGGGGTGGCTTTGCAGGGCGGGGAGGGGGAGAGAAGAGAAGGGGAGCAATTGAGGGGGGGAAATTGGAGCAAACAGGAGCAGCCCTTAGATAGGGCACTGACTTTGCAGGGTGGGGATGCAGAGAAAGAACGAAGCAGCAAGAGACACAGGGGGGGGAAGGGGGGAGCGGGTGGGGCAGAGTTCGGAGAGAAGAGCGGCCTTTGTTCGGAGAGAGCGAAGGAACCAGCCTTGGATAGGGTAGTAGCTTTGCAGGGCGGGGAGGCAGAAAAAGAGCGAAGCAGCGGGTGGCAGCAAGAGGGAGAGCAGTGGCTGTAGAGATAAGCAGGGCTGAGAGGATGGATGGCAGCTTGGATTGGAGAGGAGAGGAGGTGAGGAGGAGGCCAACCTTGGAGAGGGTGGTGACTTTGCAGGGCGGGGAGGCGGAGAAGGAGCGAAGCAGCGGGTCGCAGCAGAGGTAGCGGCAGCCCTGGATGTGAGCGGCCTGGGGGGAGATGTGTTGCCGCTGCACCTGAGCTTCCAAAGATTCCATTTCCCTCACCAGCTGATGGGGAGTGGGGGGAGGACGGGGGGTGACCTGGATGTGGGCTGCTTGTGGGGAGATGTGGCTGGCTGGCTTCACGTGCCTCCATCTCCCTCACCAGCTGATGGGGAATGGCTGGGGGGAGAGGACGGGCCGAAAGGATGGTTGTGAGGCGAGTCAAAAGGAAGTGTTGGGGAATGGATGGGGGGAAGTGGGGGCCGAGGTGAGCAGCAGAGGTAGCGGCAGCCCAGGGTGTGAGCCGCCTGTGGGGAGATGTGGCTCTTTTGCAGGCTGGCTTCAAGTGCCTCCGTTTCCCTCAGCAGCTGTTGGGGGATGGGGGGGGACGGGAGAGAGGAGGGGGGTTGAGCAGCAGAGTGTCGCGGCAGAGGCAGCGGCAGCCCTGGATGTGCGCCGCCCGGGGGAAGACGGGGTTCCGCCGCCTCCGGTGCTCCCACCTCCCTCCCTCAGCAGTCGTTGCGGCATAGGGGAGGAGAGGGGGAGGAGAGGGGGACGAGAGGGGGAGGAGAGGGGGACGAGAGGGGGAGGAGAGGGGGAGGAGAGGGGGAGGAGAGGGGGACGAGAGGGGGACGAGAGGGGGAGGAGAGGGGGAGGAGAGGGGGAGGAGAGGGGGAGGAGAGGGGGACGAGAGGGGGACGAGAGGGGGACGAGAGGGGGACGAGAGGGGGAGGAGAGGGGGAGGAGAGGGGGAGGAGAGGGGGACGAGAGGGGGACGAGAGGGGCGGGTTGAACAGCAGAGGCAGCCCCTGCAACAGCAGTCAGGGTGTGCAGAGCGAAGATCAGGAATTTACAATCACTCAGAACCGGCTGTAGTGCACGCCTGTTCTGTTTTTGAGGCAGTCACCTCAAAAAGAGACATTCACTCATAAGAATAGGCTGTAGTGTAGGCCCGTTCTGTTCTGTAGTGTAGTGAGGCGCCTGAAAAATAGACATTCACTCATCTCAGGCGGTAGGTTTGTTATGCATGCAGACTGCAGGTGTCGTCTCAAACACGTGCAAAATAATCCAATCTCCCCACCTCCAGCGCTAAAAAGGACAACTGAGAAGGATACTTCATAACGAGTCACAAAAATGCAGTTCACCTGAGTTGATTCCCCACCAGCGCTAAGAGATGCTTGACAAAAAACACCCGCGAAATTCCCAATGCTCTTGGCATGCCCCTCACCTCTGCGTGCAGTTTCTGTTTCGGGGCACCTTATCACGGGTTTGAACAGGTAACCCACCTCAGGCTGCCACCTCAGCCTGTAGGTCCGTTTTGGCATATTCATCCCTCCGCCCCACACCACCGCCTCCATCCCTTGCTGCTGCTGCAGCTGTTGGCAGCGGCTCCACCGCCAGCGCTGTCAAATCCTTGTAAAACAAAAACCCGCAGTAACTCACCTCAGAGTGAAGGTCCGATTTCGCAGTGCCAACCCTCCAGCCCTCTCCTGCAGCAGCAGCAGCCGCTGCGGCTGCTGCTATTGGCAGCGGCCCCATCACCAGCGCTGTCAAATCCCAGAAGAAAAACAGCAGCAGCTCACCTCTGGGTGAAGGTCCGATTTGGCATTGCCATCCCTCCAGCCCTCTCCTGCAGCAGCAGCAGCAGCTGCTGCTGCTGGCAGGGGTTCCACCACGAGCGCTGTCAAATCTTTGAAAAAAAACGCCCGCAGAACTCCCACCACCCCTCCTTCCTTCTCCCCTCCACCACCACTCTCCCCCTCCCGACCATATTTCTTCCCCCCACCCCTCTCGTTCCCCTCATCCCCCCTACCTCTTGCTCCCATCTCACCTCCCTCTCCCCATTCCCCTCCCTCTGCCCCTTCTCCCCTCACCTCTACCCCCAAAGACCTCAAATAGGCTAGAGGGGGGAGAGGAGTGTTGTTTAGGGGATCTACCCCCCATGCTGACGTGGAAAGGGAGTGACCTGACGTGGATTTAGTCCAGGATGATGCGCGGAGGGGCAAGGGAGGGGAGGAGTAGGGGAGGGGGAAAGGGGAGGATGAAGTGGGGGGGTTGGAAGGGGCAGGGGCAGCGGAGGGGGAAGGGGGAACTGGTTGGCTGGGGCGGGGGCAAGCGGAGGGGGAGAGCGGGGGAGTGTGGGTGAAGGGGGAGGGGATGGCGAGAGAGGGAGTGGAGGAAGAGCGAGGGAGAGAGGAGGAGGAGGAAGGAGTGAGTGAGGGAGTGAGTGAGGGACTGAGGAAAGAGGAGGAGGTGCGGCGAGGGGAGGGGGAGGAGGCGGCGGAGGAGGAGGAGGTGAAGGGGGAGCGGAAGGGAGAGAGGGAGCGGAGGATTGAGGACGAGGAGGAGGGGGGGGAGAGGGATGAGGGGAGAAGGCGCAGACAGGCATAGGAGTGCAGTGCTGCAGTGTCGGCCTGATAGAGGGAGAGGGGAGGGGAGGGGGGAGGAGAGGGAGGAGGGAATGGGATGGAGAAGAGGTGAGAACAGCGGGAATGAAACTTATGATGAGAGAAAGCTCGTAGACAGGCATGGAGGCATAGGAATGTAACGCTGGGGATTAAGTCTGATGGAGGAGGGAAAGGGGAGGGGGGAGGGGAGAGGGGGGGGGTGGGGAGGGGGAAGAGGTGAAAAGAGGGCAAAAGTATGAAGCACGGGAGAAGACGCCAACAGGCGTAGGAGCAGAGTCTGCACTGCTGGCCCAATAGAGGGATGGGGGGGGAGAGGGCGGAGAGAGGGGGGAAGGGGAGGGAAAGAGATGAGGGGGAATAGAAAAAACGAGGGGGAATAGAAAAAACGAGGGGGAATAGAAAAAACGAGGGGGGATGGCGTAGACAGGAATACTTGTTAACAACAACCACCTGCGGCAGAGCGGCATAGAAGGCATGGGGTTTCAGTTCAGGGCATGGGTACAGCATTAGCAGACTTCTCTGGGGCGACTCATAAGTGAAGTGCAGCACGAGTGGATACCAGGGAGACACTGCCCACCACGCGCAGGTTGTGGCAGAGCAGCAGGGCAGGTTTGGGGCTCGCTTGGGGTTTGCCTAAAAGCAGGCCGTCAATGGTTACCGCTAAGGGATGACTTTTGAGTCCACGGAGTGGTTACCGGGGAGAGGGTAGACGCGAGGAGCAGGTTGTGGCAGAGCAGCAGAGCACCCCCTTGAAAGGCGTCGGCCAGGCGATGAGCCAAAGACTGGGAGGCGATGAAGGGAAACGAGGAGAGGAGAGAAGGAGAGAGGGTGCATGGGTTGGTGACGAAGGGGAGAAGGACGTGAGAGGAGAGAAGGACGAGCAGCAGAGCAACCCCTTGACAGGCATCTGCCAGGCGATGGGCGAAAGACAGGCGGGTGCCGAAGGGAAAGGGGGAGAGGAAAGGAGGGGAGGGGGGAGGGGCGTGGGTGGGTGAGGAAGGGGAGAAGGACGTAAGAGGAGAGAAGAAAGAGCAGCAGAGCCCTGGCCTATAAGGCGTATGCCAGGCGATGGATGGGAGATGAGAGGGAGATAAGAGAATCAGGGGTGGCGCAGGAGAGAGGGACAGGGATGCGAGATGAGAAACGCAAGAGCAGCAAAGCCCTCCCTGGATGGTGTGTGCCTGGCTGAGAGACTGGTGTGAGAGAGAGGGAGAGGAGAGAGAAGCAGGAGTGACAGAGGGGAAACAGTGTGTGGGGGAGTGAGAGGAGCTAAGTCTCACCAAGACAGGCAGTGTCAGGTAGCGAGGCAGGTTGAGGTGGTCGCAGGAGAGGGGGTTGAGGAGGAGAGGCAGGCGGTCACGGACGAAAGAAAAGGGGGAAAATGGGGCCATCCTTTCAGCAGTGCATGGCGGCAGTCGGCAGTCGGCTGTGTTTCTCACCAAGGCAGGCAGTGTCAAGGAGCGAGGCAGGTTGAGGTGGTCGCAGGAGCGGGAGTGGAGGAGGAGAGGCAGTGTGTGGGCGAGTGAGAGGAACTTAATGCTTACCCAGGTAGGAAGCGTGAGGGAGCAAGGCAGTTGGAGAAAGAGCCGAGGAGAGAAGGCAGGCCGACACAAGGAGTGGGGAGGGGAGAGACAGAGGGCCCATAGTTTCTTTTCTTCCCGCAGCAGGACGCATTAAAGAGCGGGGCAGGTTTAGACGACGGCAGGCGAAACGGTTGGAGAGAGAGAGTCAAGGAGAACAGGCAGGCGGACACAAGGAGAGTTGGGGAGGGGGGGGGAGACGCGCGAGCCAGCAAGGAAAGTGGCCGAGAGGATCTGAAGTCTCACCAAGGAGGGGAGCGTCAACGAGCGCGGCAGATTCAGGTGGCGCGAGGCGAGGCGGTTGGAGAGAGAGTCGAGGAGCACAGGCAGGCGGACACGAGGCGAGGCGGCGGAGGAGAGGGAGAAGGGGAAGGCGAGAGAGGAGGGCTCTGGAGATCCGCCTGAAGGGATGAGGGAAGGGGGTTGAAGAATGGGGTGCGCCGGCAAGGGCACGGGGGAGAGAGAGTCGAGGAGTAGATGCAGGCGGACTCGAGGAGGGGTGGAGGAGGAGAGAGAGAAGGGGAAGGGGAGAGGGGAGGGAAAGGAGAGAGGGGAGGGGAAGGAGAGAGGGGAGGGCTTATGCGTGAAGGGATGGCGGGGGAAGGGAGTTAGAGAAGGGGGTGAGTGAGATGGCAGGGAGGCGGGGAGTGGGAAGTCGGGAACAGCGGGCGGGCGGGAGGACGGGCGGGCGGGCACGAGGAGAGGTGGAGGAGCAGAGGGCGAAGGGGAAGGCGAACGAGAAGGAGGGCTCTGAAGATCCGCCTGGTGTTAAAATACAAATAATATGTATAGGATACAATCCTTTATGTACACCACTTTGTGGGAGTAAATTTGGGGTTGGGGTAAACACAAAACCTGTATGGTTTGTTACCCAACCACAATTGTTGGTTGGCCTAACCATTATTCAACCCTCCAATAATTGGCCACCCCAACTTATTGGTGCAACCAATCATGTTGGAGCCCCTCTCATCTCATTGGTGCAAATCATGTTGGAGCCCCTCGGATTGGTGCAACCAATTATGTTGGAGCTCCTCGTATTGGTGCAACCACCTGAGTGGTCCACCAATAAGTCAACCCCACCCCTCCTTGGACCACACTCTCTCCTATGTAACCCCGCCCATTCGACTTCAACCACAAATTCATCTTCTGGCCCCTGGAGGGTAGATGAAATGGGAGAGGCATGAAGCAGGAGGGGGAGGTAGATGGGACAAGAGCGGGAATGTGGGAGAGGAGGGCTCTGGGGATCCGCGTGGAGAGATGAGGGAATGGGGGAAGGGGGAAGGGGGGAGGGGGAAGGGGGAAAGGGAGAGTAGAAGCGGGAGAGATGACAGGGAGAAGAGGAGAGGGAGTCGAGGAGAAGAGGCAGGCGAGCTTGAGGAGGAGGGGTGGCGGGGGAGAGGGAGAAACGGAAACGCGAGAGAGGAGGGCTCTGGGGATCCGAGTGCAGGGATGGGTGAGGGGGGAGGAGTTTAGACAAGGGGGAGAGATGGCAGGGAGCAGGGAAGTGGGACGACGGCAACAGCAGGTAGGGGGGGCTGCAGAGCGGTGGCGGGGGAGAGGGGAGAAAGGGGATGCAGTAGAGAAGGGCTGTGGGGATCCGCCTGAAGGGATGAGGGCGGAAGGGGGTTGGAGAAGTGAAGCAGTTGAGAAGAAAGGTGGCAGGCGGATACGAGGAGAAGTGGTGGGAGAGAGGGAGAGATGTACATGTGAGGAAGTCAGGGAGGAGGGCTTGCAGGCAGGCATGGGGTAGATCAGCAGAGAGGGAATGGGCTGATGAGAGAGTGGCTGTTGGGCGACCAGCAGGAGGAGGGCGGGCTTGCTGCAGCAGGCGACTGACTGACGCTGGTAGAGAAGAGGCATGCCTGAGGAATTCTAGGAGGGAGGCTTGCTGTGGGGAGCGAGGCGCGGGCTGAACGGGCAGCGCAGGAAGCGGGTGACTCACAAGTCGTTAGCCATTTGAGGCGCCTCACAACTGGCACGGCAGGAAGCGGGTGCCGCTTCTTGAGTGCCGAGCCATTTGCACTCAAAAGTCGCCTCCATTGCGAGGCCAGGAATCGGACGCAGGATTTGCGGCAGGGCCCGCTGGTGAGGGACGAGCAGAAGGATCCTCCGGTGAGGGATAAGCAGAGGGCGGACCTGCTGCAGCAGGCGACTGACAGTGGAGAAGAGGCAGAGCAGCGCATGCGCCCCCACCAGGTACTGCCTGAGAAGAGATTTACTTGTACCCGTGCCGGTGCCTGTGCCTGCCCGTCCCCGTCCCCGTGCCCGTGCCTGCACCAAGCAGAGAGACGTTACATACCTGTGAGGAAGTCCGGGAGAAAGGCTTGCAGGCAGGCGCGGGCTAAGTCGGCTGAGGGGGGATCAGTGGAGGGAGAGCGGGCTTGCTCCGACAACAAGCGGTCGATGCTGGCAAAGAAAAGGCAGAAAAGCGCATGCGCCTCCCCCAGATACTGCCGGAGAGCCTCGTCGCGCACTGTAGCGTCGGGCGGCACAACGCCGTTGACCCCCCGACACTCCACCACCTGAGGGCAAAGGCAGATGGGCGCATGGGGAAAGGCAGATGGGCGCATGGGGAAAGGCAGATGGGCGCATGGGGAAAGGCAGATGGGCGCATGGGGAAAGGCAGATGGGCGCATGGGCAAAGGCAGATGGGCGCATGGGGAAAGGCAGATGGGCGCATGGGGAAAGGCAGATGGGCGCATGGGGAAAGGCAGATGGGCGCATGGGCAAAGGCAGATGGGCGCATGGGGAAAGGCAGATGGGCGCATGGGGAAAGGCAGATGGGCGCATGGGCAAAGGCAGATGGGCGCATGGGGAAAGGCAGATGGGCGCATGGGGAAAGGCAGATGGGCGCATGGGGAAAGGCAGATGGGCGCATGGGCAAAGGCAGATGGGCGCATGGGGAAAGGCAGATGGGCGCATGGGGAAAGGCAGATGGGCGCATGGGGAAAGGCAGATGGGCGCATGGGGAAAGGCAGATGGGCGCATGGGCAAAGGCAGATGGGCGCATGGGGAAAGGCAGATGGGCGCATGGGGAAAGGCAGATGGGGCGCATGGGGAAAGGCAGATGGGCGCATGGGGAAAGGCAGATGGGCGCATGGGGAAAGGCAGATGGGCGCATGGGGCAAAGGCAGATGGGCGCATGGGGAAAGGCAGATGGGCGCATGGGGAAAGGCAGATGGGCGCATGGGGAAAGGCAGATGGGCGCATGGGGAAAGGCAGATGGGCGCATGGGGAAAGGCAGATGGGCGCATGGGGAAAGGCAGATGGGCGCATGGGGAAAGGCAGATGGGCGCATGGGAAAGGCAGATGGGCGCATGGGGAAAGGCAGATGGGCGCATGGGGAAAGGCAGATGGGCGCATGGGGAAAGGCAGATGGGCGCATGGGGAAAGGCAGATGGGCGCATGGGGAAAGGCAGATGGGCGCATGGGGAAAGGCAGATGGGCGCATGGGGAAAGGCAGATGGGCGCATGGGGAAAGGCAGATGGGCGCATGGGGAAAGGCAGATGGGCGCATGGGGAAAGGCAGATGGGCGCATGGGGAAAGGCAGATGGGCGCATGGGGAAAGGCAGATGGGCGCATGGGGAAAGGCAGATGGGCGCATGGGGAAAGGCAGATGGTGTCAGAAGGGGAACGAAGTTGAGGGCATGTGGGGGTATAGGGCCGTGCCCACATGGCAAAGGGGGGTTGCGTCCAGCGCCGTTGGCCCCGCGACACTCCGCTACCTGAGCGTGTAGGGAGATGGGCGGATGGAGAGAGGGCAGTCAATCGTTTCCACGAGTGGATGGAGGCTCGGCGAAATGGGTTTTACAAATTAGCCAGGGACATGGGGAGAGTGGGGGGGATGGGTGAACAGGGGAATGGGGGAATGGGGGAACGGGGGAACGGGGGAATGGGGGGAATTGGGGGAGACGGGCGGATGGAGAGGGCAGTTAATCGTTTCCATGGTTGGACGATTTTTGAGGCGCCTCAAAAAAAGTTGGATGGATGGAGGCAAGATGAGGTCCCAAAAATGATGGCCATGCCATAGTTACGGGAAAAAAATACTCGGTATAGAGTAATGCAAATACAGGCTCAACACCAAGAAGTGCATACAATATTGAAAGTAAATATGTTTGGTTTAAACTGATTCAAACACTTGCTTCAAACTCAAAAGACAGACCATGGCTAACACAGAGCGCACATACCATCACACAGCACACATACCATCACACAGCACACATACCATCACACAGCACACATACCATCACACAGCACACATACCATCACACAGCACACATACCATCACACCATGACCATGAATATGCCCGGTTCGCACTCCAGGTGGCAGTAGAAGTGGGCTCGTACTAGTTTCAACATGCATGCCATACCAGCATGCATGCCGCACCATGATTAACACACATACCAGCACCATCACAAGGACACACGCACCATGACCATGAAGATGCCCGGTTCGTACTCCAGCAGCACGTGGTGGTGGTAGCAGGCATGTTGACGGTAACGATGTTTGGAACAGACTAATAAAAACACTTGCTTCAACCCAGAACGCATACCATGACCATGAAGATGCCCGGTTCGCACTCCAGCAGCACGTGGCGGTGGAAGTGCGCTCGCATCACTTGGCAGGGGCGATGGGGGGAGAAGATCCTGGAAAGGGGGAGGGAGCGCGATGGAGGGTGGCGGCAGAGAAATCATGGGGAAAGGGTGGGAGAGGTAGGAGGCTACGCAGCAGCACATGGGGTTGGAAGATAGACCCGGACACTTCACTTGGACACTGCAGTGCAGGGACGGATTCTATGAGGGGGAAAAGACGGAGGGCATCAAGGTAGAGGTAGGAACAGTTGGGGGGGAAGCAGCAGCATGTGGGGTTGGGAGTGCGCTTGCATCACTTCGCAGGGGCGATGGGGGGAGAAGATTCTGGGAGGGGAGGGGGAGACAAAGGTTGGGGTTATGGCAGGGGTAGATTGGGGGAGTGGAGGGAGGGGTTGGGTTGGGGGCAGTAAGAAGCACATGACGGTGCAAGTGAACCCGCATCACTTCGCAGGGGCGACAGGGGGCGGAGATTCTGCAGGGGGGAGGGAGAGAGATTGAAACGGAAGTTTAGTCGGATGGGCTGGGGGCAGTAGGCGGCACGTGGGATATAGGGGAAAAGATAGAGGGGGGTAGTGAGGCAAGGGTGGGAGGAAGGGAGGAGGGGGGGGTGTGGGGGAGGGGAGGAAGAGAGGTAGGCAGGGATGGGAGAAGAAGATAGGAAGGGCGAATTCCAGGGGGGAGACGGAGCATGGCGCATGGAGAAATGCTGTCGTGGGGAGAGTGACTGTAACGAGTCACCTGGTGAAAGCTGCAAGCACCTGGTGAAAGCTGAAAGCACCTGGTGAAAGCGGATAGAAGAACAGAAAGGTGTGACTCTAACGAAATAACGAGTACATGGTGAAGGCGATGAGCCCCTCCCACAGGCCCAGCAGCGCCACGTGCTCCGACGGCAGGGTGGCGAGCAGAAAGAGTGTGACTAAAACGAGTACCTAGCGAAGGCGATGAGGCCCTCCCAGAGGCCCAGCAGCGCCACTTGCTCTCAAGGCGGGTTGCCAGGCGGAAAGATGTGACTATAAGGAGTGTGAAAATAGCGAGTACCTGGTGAAGGCGATCAGTCCCTCCCATAATCCCAGCAGCGCCACTTGCTCCGACAGTGGAGTGGCGGGCGGGAAGAAGAACAGAAGCTTCTCCGCCTCTTCCCCCTCCCGCTTCCCTCGCCGCGAGTCAAACACACACACGCGCACCGCACTTCCGCCCGCGCCCCCTCCCCCGCCTCCGCCCATCCCCGCAGACCCTCCTCCTCCGCCCCTCCCCGCTCCCCCGCCGCCCGCTCCGCCTTTCCCCATGACGCGCGGGGCTGCGCGGACGCGCTAATGCAACACCCACCACCTACGCGCAAGTCAGCAGACCTTACATGTAAAACGGGTAAATGACCCCACGAAACAGTTCGCTGGTTCAAATCTCAACTCTTCTTATCATTCTACGAGGCTCTTGAGAGATCGGCAATAAGAGGCTCGTATTATTCTACTAAGGTGGTCAAACACTAGCGAATTCGAAGCCTCCGAGCTCATTGGTTCCGCGAGTGACGCGTGGGCGAAGGTTCAGGTTACCGGGTAGCGCGGATTGGTCGCAATTTCGCAAGGCGCGTGATCAATTCTTATACTCGATATAGCACAGCAGTTAGACCCTCCACAACTCCAAACTCCAAGCTTGTTGGCAAATTACAGCCTGGAGTGTAGCTCAAAGTTTGCGAGGTCAGCTGGTAAACGGCACAGAGCGATACAGTGTGGTGACGTGTGTTGAAGGGTCCTCCCTTCCCTTCGAGCCTCAGAGTTGCACACCCAAAAGGCGTTTGTAGTGTTCTAGTACGGTGCGGTACGGTTAATGCGATACTTCAAGCAGACCCCCTTGGGTTCCTGGCACCAGCGCGGTCCAGCCATCTTTGTCTTGCAGGAGATCCACCAATGCTGGCCCTCGGATTTTGCTGATTCGACTCCTTCCACGGACGCCATTCGTTCGATTCCTCCACCCAAACCAGCGCGTGTGCCAGGCCGTGCCTACGTGTATCACAAAAAAGTTATGGCTGGCCGTGCTTCTCCGCATCATCCCCTGACACCCACATCCGGCATCACCCATTGGTTGGTGGTGATTCGATCGCATGCTTGACGGCTGACCGTTTGTTTTCCTGCCTGACCGCACACGTGTGCAGTGAGTTAGTGAGTGACGGTTTGAACGAAGCCCCGCTTTCCCGTTCGAGCTGTTCCCCGAATTGCGGACTGCATTCGCCAGCCACTCGAGGGTCAGTTCGAATCGCGTCAACCAGGGAACAATGGTGAACCTCTTCGTATGGTTAACGTATTTCGCTACAAATCGCTTTTCAGTCGTCGACACCGCATTCTCTGGAATCAACGGTCAACACTAGCACCGAGCGTGAGATCGACGAGCAACAACTTCCCGAAACCTCGCTCACGTTCTGCGAGCAGAACGAGGCAACATTACTACTGTATTGTAGCCATTCATCGCCTCACCTCACCACCACCAGTTCCTGGTTCGCTGATCTGCACTTTCCCATCTTGCCAAGGAAGAGGCACTCTCTGGCCAAATCCCCAAGAGACTTTCTCCAGCCTAGTCTCCCAGAAGAGACTCTCTCCAGCCAAGTCTCCCCTTGGGAACTCCCATCACACCATCGTTTCCAGTTTTGCTTTTCCTGCCTTGCGAGTACAGTGACCCTAGGGAAGAGACCCTTGGAGAATTCTCCCACCATTGTTTCCTGTCAAGCAGTTGATAGATAAATGCGAGTAGCCTGCACTCTCACACGGCTTTCTCTTACCGCGTGACTCCCGCTTTTTCCAGCACTCCTGCTGATCGCTCTCAAGTGCTCGCAACAACTCTTTTTTTCCAACCTACGATCCTTAGCGGTTGTGATTAGATTCGTGCATTCATAATCGCGGCACTCATACTTACCGAATTCACGAGATTACACTCGCCCGCACCGAGGTCGAGACGTTCGCGCGCTTCGAAATCGCGACGCTCGCACGCATCGCCCGTCGTTTCGCCGCCATGGAAGTATCCATGGTTGCCGGCTTATCTCGATCGGTTTCCATTCACACCCCGCCATCGCCATTCTCCCCTGGGTCTTTCGTCGCCAATCCCCGCGCTGCATCTGCTTCTCTCGCCAGCGGCTCGACAGGCTCCGCGGTGCGTCATCCTTCTCCCCTCTCCGTGCGTCGAACCGGCAACCTTGCTTCGGTTTCGGGCGTCCTGGTAACAGTGGTATTGGTTCGGCCGACGAATCCCGAACGATTAGAAA